AGCAGGGAGCCCGATGCGGGGCTCGATCCCAGGACCCTGAGATCATGACCTGAGCCGAAGGCAGATGCTTAACGACTGAGCCACCCAGGCGCCCCCTCATTCTCTTAATTTTAGACAGAACCTCATTCTTGCTGCAGAGAACTTTACTACCTGGACCAAGAGACATTTCTTGGAGTTATGTATCTTAGAAGATGTGTGAATAAATTTTGAATGGTAGAGCCTATTTTTTTAAAGAAATTTTCATTATGGAAAATGTCAAACACTATAAAGGAAGAGAGAGTGGTGCAGCGAACTCCCACATTGATTCGCGGGCGTCTTGGCCCCTCATGCTCCTGCTCAGCCCGGATACCCCGCTGTCCTACCTGTTTAGTGTGTATCCCCAGAAATAGGTAGGGTGCTTTGGGAGACATGGGTTGATCTTATTGTCGCACCTGAAAACATGAGCATCGTTGCTCAGCACCCTCACACATCCTCCTCCTCGGTGGACGTGCACACGCAGACGCTGGGTCTGTGTTACGTTACTGTCACTCAGAGCAGATCAGTCAGTGCGTGCTGTTTGGGTCTTTGGGGAAATTATTCAGATGCTGTGACAACTTGTCTTCAAATCGTGCCCCCTTGTCTCTCATAGGAAGGGCCGTCCTGTGTGCTCTCCTGGCCCTCTCTTCCCCGTGATGCCACCTTGTCCCCCCGCCAGCAGCCTTGGCAGCAAAGGGGCCTGGCCACCCATCTTCCTGTTGGTGGAGAGCCCTCCCCATTGGGCCGGGCCCATGATGTTTGCAGTTTCTTGTAACCCGTGGCATCTTCTTTATCCACCGTGTTTCCATAAGCTGTTCCTTGCTTACTGTGCCTTCTCTCTTGGGGGCTCCTTTTTTTTTTTTTTTTTTTTTTGCCAACCTGCACATTTGTGGCTTCACATTGAGAAAGTTGAGCAGGTTCACTTCTCCTACACTTGGTAAATGACGTGGGATGAGGGGTTCTTTATGGGGTCCAGTGTACATTTGGACCATCACACTGCATCTGGGGGACCTGTAGAGTCATCTGTACTTTTAATGTTGTGAGTGCCAAACAGATAGTGCAGTTTGGCAGATCACAGAAGATCCTTCCCACCAATCTGAGCCGAATATGCTGTTGTTTGCAGCTTCCACCGTTCTCGAGTGCCTGGAGGGCTGCAGGCTCCCCGACAGCAACCAGACCCTGCTCCGCAAACTTGGAGTGAAGCTCGTGCAGCGGCTGGGACTGACATTCCTGAAGCCCAGGGTAGCGAAGTGGAGGTCAGTAGACCAGGCCGTGATGTGCACGGTCTGAGCGTCTGTTGGGGAGGCTGGTGTGGTGATCACTTGGGTTGAGGTGGCCATGGCAGAGAACACTGTTATCTTCTGCTTCCACTTCATTTCCTTAGTCTCAACAGTGTTTCTGAGTTTGAAAGGAAAAGTTTTCCTTTTTTTTTTTTTTCTGTCCCTACATCTTACAGTTAGGATAATTGAAGCTGGAGTGGTGACAAGGAAAGTTTGGTTTTGCATTTTATGTGACATTATTCAGGTACAATATGCCTTTACCAATTTGGGCTCACTGTAGGGAAAGCTCCATTAACGATAAAGCTGAATACAAGCTTCTTTCAGAGAAAGCAAGCTCTCCTTCAGGTTGATTCAGAAAGCCAAGCTGTTTTTGCCTGTGGATGGAAACTGTGTCTTAACTAACGGTCTGATTAATTAACAGATTGCTTTTGAATTAGTGGCTTCCATAGAAACAGACTTTTCTGCTGTGCTTGGAGTACTGTGTTTTTAATAGTCTTCGGGTTTTTTGTTTTGTTTTGCTTTTTAGTTTTTGTATTTTTGTGAGGAACAAGAACCACGTTTTGTATTTGTTCATTTCTTGTGTTTGAAGTATTCCTCGATGGCATCCTTGGCCTGACTCTTTGCCATAGTCTTTCACCACCACGCAACTGCAGCCAACCACTTTATGGGGTTTTCTTCTCTGTTGGTTTTACAGAGGCCCGTCCCTTCCCCTCGTTTCTTGTTGTCATCAACCTTAATTAGGTTGACTTGGTGCTCAGCACAAAGCACCTCCACCAGCTTGACATGCACAGGCTCATCACAGTTGTTGCAAATGCACAGAGATGGGTTTGGCACTTGTCTAAGGCTTTGGCAGCTTCGTGAATCCCACGTGCTAGGCCATCGTGGATGAGGGTGGTCTTCAGCCCCTCCTGTAAAGCAGTATTAATGTCCATGACACCTCCAGCAGCAGGGCCTTCCTTGGCCATGGCAGTGGGTTATGGGTGGAGCCAAATCTTGAGTGTGTCCAAGCCTCTGCCTCCGTGTGACTCAGTGGTGGCAGGGAAAGAGCTAAGAGTCTTCAGTTTTATTTCTAGTATTAATATTGGTGGTTTGGGAGGAGTTGTTTGGTAAAGTTCAGCTCATCCTTTGTCTCAAATTCCAGCAAATTCCAGAGAAGTATGTTATGTTGTAGTGATGTTTTGTTCAAATTAGCTTTTGGGTCATACAGCGCATTCTGTAAGAAGTTGTTTATAAGACTAAATGTTAGTGGTTAGTTTCCAAAATGCCATGGAAAATTAATGTTCGGGGGCGCCTGGGTGGCTCAGATGGTTAAGCGTCTGCCTTCGGCTGAGATCATGATCCCAGGGTCCTGGGATCAAGTCCCGCATCGGGCTCCTTGCTCAGCGGGGAGTCTCCTTCGCCCTCTGCCCACCGCTCCCCCTGCTTGTGTGTGCTCTGTCTCTCTCTTTCTCCCGCTCTCTCTGACAAATAAATAAAATCTTTTTTTTTAAAGATTTTATTTATTTATTTGACAGAGAGAGACACAGCGAGAGAGGGAACACAAACAGGGGGAGTGGGAGAGGGAGAAGCAGACTTCCCGCGGAGCAGGTTGCCCGATGTGGGACTCGATCCCAGGACCCTGAGATCATGACCTGAGCCGAAGGCAGACGCTTAACGACTGAGCCACCCAGGCGCCCCATAAATAAATAAAATCTTAAAAAAAATTGATTTTCAGTACTGTATTGGGGTTCTCCAGGGACATACCCGATAGGGTGAGAGGATGTGTGTGCGCATGCACAGACACTTGTAAAGAATTGGCTCATGCGATTGTGGAGGCTGGCAAGTCTCGACATCTGCAGGGTGAGTAAGAAAGCTGGAGACCCAGGGGAGCTGATGGTGGCATTTGAGTCTAAAGGCAGGAAGAATTCCTTCTTAACCCTAGGGGAGAGTTGGCCTCTTTGCTCTGTTCTGGTCTTCAACTGATTGGATGAGGCCCACCCACACTGGGGAGGGCAATCGGTTTATTCAGTCTACCAATTTAAATGTTCATCTCATCCAAAAACAGAGGCACACACAGAATAAAGTTTGACTGAATATCTGGGTACTCTGTAGCTCGGTCGAGTTGACACATAAAATCGGTCATCACAGGGACTGTAAACCTTTATGTGTGAAGGGGAGTAACTCAGCACCATAATTGCTTTGTTCAGTTTGCATTTCCATGTACATTTAATGGAAGTCTACCCTCTTGCTGTTTTTTCTGTCTCTTCTGTCTTCATTTTGTTTTTTTGTTTTTTTTCATTTTATCTCCTGTTATATTATTGTTTTATTTTCAGTGTCATTCGTCTGTTGGCTATCTTTCCTTGACAAGGAGTAAGCCTGTCTGGCAGGCTGGTAACTCGCTGGGGCTGCTCCGTCTTCCTAAGGCCTTGTTAGGATGGTCTTGTTTCTGTTCCTTTTCCCTGGAGCATAGCCCTTGCTCCTGCAGCACGCTCCTCACTTCTAGTGCATGGCTGTTTGGTCTCCCTTCCTGGGCCCACATCCTGGCGACTCCCCAGCATTACATGACCTCTGGACTCAGCTCAGCTGTCAGCCTCCCAGCTGCTCTCACATGGTGCTTCTGGGTCTTACCTTGTACTCGCACATCTTGGGGGTCGTCCAAAGATCCAAGGAGACGTCTCTGCACAATTATGGGTTTCCTTCTTAGCAGCTACTTTTTCTCAACGTCTGTCCCCAAATACTCACCATCTCTGTAGTTGGGATTTTTTTTTTTCATATACCAGGCAAGACTGCTGCTCTCTGCTTGGGCTCTCTTTTCCTGTGCTGTGGTTTAGAAAGTACGTTTGGGGCGGAGAGGTGTGAAGGTGGGGTGCTGCTGGGCACCTCCCTGCTGTGAGGAATGGTATCCTGGTCTTGTCATCTCATGTGTGCCAATGGCTGGTTTATGACTTTTGTCCACACTTTGTAATTGATGGCAGAAGGGTAAATCCGATGGCAGCCTAGAATCTGTCCTTTTTGTAGTTTCTGATTACTGAGTGTTAGGGTGAGTACTTTTCCTATGAAATAATCAACGTGTGTACTGATTTGAGGAGAACAGGAGCAAGGACAATAGCCATTGTGAGGCTCTGTGCTGGGCAGTTTATGATCATGAGGACAAACCTGTGGTGGCTGGTGATGCTCTCCCCATATTAGTTACCTGCTGCTCCTCCCGTTCTCACACCAGCTCTGAAGTGTGGTTTTTTTCCCCACACCAGCCAATTCCTGGACACCAGCTGGCTGCCTCAAAATTCTGACACAGTCTACCTGGAGATAGTGTCTGATTCCTCATGATTCCTCAGATGAAGGGCTCAGTCCCACAAGACTATCTCCCCCCACCCCATTACTCAGATGCCAGTAGCAGGTCCAGGTTGTAACCTGTGCCTTGACCAATTATAAATTGGGATCCCCACATCTCCCTCTTCAGGCTCAATTAACATGCTAGAGCAACTCACAGAACTCTGAGAAAGATTTTGTGTACTAGATCACCAGTTTATTATAAAAGGATACAGCTCAGGAACAGCCAGACGGAAGAGAAGCCCAGGGCGAGGTGTGGGGGGAAGGGTTGTGTCCTCTCCACATGTACCACTCTCTCTGGGTCGGGTCTCCACGTGCTCACCAGCCCAGGAGCTCTCCAAACCCTCTCCTGGATTTATATGGAGGCTTCATTACAGAGGCATGATTGATTAAATCATTGGCCATTGGTGATTCATTAAATCTCTAGCCCCTCTTCCCTCCTTGGAGGTTAGGGGGTGAGATTGAAAATTCCAACCCTCCAGTCACATGGTTGGTTTCCATGGTGACAGTCCCCATCCTTAGGTGACCTAGGGGCTTTCCAAAAGTCACTTCTTTAGCATAAGTGAAGACACCTTAATCCAGAAGTGGACAAGGACCCAACATATATTTCGTATTGTAAATGACAACATTACAGTTATGTGACAGAGTACCCCAAAATCTAGCAGCTTAAAATGATGCATTTTTAATGTCCTCATTTCTGTGGATTGGGAATCTGGGTGTAACTTCGCTGGGTCCTGTGGTCAGGGTCTGTCTAAGGCTTCACAAAGGTGTTGGGTAGCGCTGCTGCCAGCTCAAGGCTCCGCTTGTGGCCGGGGGCACCCAAGCACGCTCAGGTCAGGTCGGTAGGACTCCATTCCTTGTGGGCTGTCTTCTGGGGGCCTCCCAAAGTTCTTGCTGCGGGGCTTTCTGTAGTGCAGTGCACAGTATAGGGGTGGTTTCTGTCCGAGTGAGAAGGTGGGAAGACGGAAGCCACAGTCTTCCTGAGCCTTCTTGGGAGGGACATCCCCTCGCTGCTGTGGCCTCCTACTCAGAAGGAGTCACTGGGTCTGGGCTGTACCAAGGGGAGAGGATTGCTTGAACATCAGAAGGTGGGCCGCTTGGGGCTGCCTGCCACTGCCCTTGTTTTACAGAGTTGGAAACTGGTCCAGGGAGTTAATGAGCTGTTGAGCACCACAGTTAGCAGTGCCCGGGCTGGTGTTCAGGTTCTGTGCCCTGTCTGTGAAGCTCCAGTTGTCTGTGTTTGGGAGTCAGCCTCAGGCTGCAGCCCCCGGATGCCCTCTGTACCTTGACTTGGGCACCTTCTGCGCTCCAGGCAGTGTCCTGATCCAGGGCCACCCGCCAGTCTGGCTCATGCGTGCTTGCCTCAGTGCGGCACACTGGGGCCTGCCTTCCAGGAGGAAAGGCCTTTGTGCACATCCTTGCATGTGTCTGTCACAAGCCTCTGGGTAGGGCCTCCTCTGACAGATGGGGAAACTGTGGCGGCCAGAGGTTCAGGAGCTGTGCAGGGTCAGACGCCGGAGCCAGCCCGTGCCAGTGTCCTCACGGCACACGGATGATGCCTGTGGCCTCAGCTCGGTGTGGGGAGGGCTGTGGCTGCTGGGGGGCTTGAGAGGGAGGCTCTGGGGAAGAGTTGAAGCATTGAAGAGTCCAGGGTGGCGAAGGGCCTGGGGGCAGTAGGGACGGGAGGCAGAGTGCCTTGTAACTAAGGCTGACGCCCACGGGACCCACGAATGCCCTTCCCGCTGCTTCTGTCGGGCACACTCTTGCAGTCCTGCCCCGTCCCCCGCCTTCTTTCTGCCTGACACTACACAGCACTCGAGGGTTTCTGAGTAGCGCAGAACCTCTGTTCTGTGGCTCAGATTGGCATTATCTTTTCTTGGCAGCCCTTGTGGAGGCCAGTTATGCTCCATGTTTTTTCCATCCCATCTCTCTAAAACACATGGAATTTTCACAGGCACCCTTTAAGATTCTAAGGGACAACACAGTATTGATTTCAGTCGTCAAGATAATTTCTCTTAGAGGCTCCAGCAGGCGTGGCAGCAGGTCTGAGGTAATGTCTGTGTGTGCAGGTACCAGCGTGGCTGCCGCTCGTTGGCTGCTAACTTGCAGCGCTGCGCCCAGAGTCAGAAAGAGTCGAAGGTGCACATGGAGACTCCCGACAGTGACGGAGACTATGACATCCCCGAGGAAGTGGAGAGCGTGATAGGTGGGTAGGGTCCCTGCAGCCTCCCGGTGAGCCTGCGGTGGGCCAGCTGCCCTCTGGTCCTGGGGGCGCTGGTGAGGCTCCTCTGAGGTGCATGCCTTCCTCCCCTCTTTGTGCTGGCATCATGTGGCCTTCCGTGACCTTGCCCACCCTCACCTTTCACGGAGCTTGTGGAAGCTGGCCTTCGGTCTTGATGCCCACGACCATTTGGGCCCTGGACCCTGTCATTCTGTTTACTGTTTGCTTCCCATGTGTGAGCTGTCATATTGCTACCTCAGTGTACTGCCCTCAGCCCTCCACCATGCCTTACCTGGGTGCATCTGGCCCATGGCCTCAGGCCTTCTGGAGAGATGGAGTGGTGGCTTTCCTGGCCCCGTGCCACACACACCTGCAGTGTCCCTCCCACTGCAAACCTGAAGAGCTCTGGGCCCTGCCCTACGCTTACCTGAGGGAGTGTCTCCTGCTTACAGAGCGGAGCAGAGCCCCACTGTAGCGGCCTCACATACCCTGCCAGCCTTCAGCCACCCCTCCTCGTCTGGTGCCCCCTGCCCCCACTGTAGGGTCTCCCACTGTCGTTTAGCTCCAGTCTCCTTGTCCATGAGGGACAGCATTGCACCTCCTCTGGTGCTGTCTCACTGTTTCTCACGTCCATTCTCCCCCCTTCACATTGTGCTTCTTAACCTGCTCCCCCCACCCCTGGGGTCCTACACTGCCCCAGTCACAGTGAATTTGACCCCTTCACAGGCTCCTGTCCTTCCTCCATGTTGGGCCTTCCCAGGCTGCCTGGGTGCCCTTGGTCAAGGTTTCCATTGACTGGGACTTGTCAGGCCCTTATTGAGAGGCCTCTGACATCTTCCCACTTCCTTTGGGCCCCTGTGTGGCTCTTGCTAGAGTCTGGCCTGTGCCTGAGACCCCGGTAAGAGCCCCTTTTCTGCACCCTCTTGCAGACACTGATCTCTGGGAAGTCTTCCTCACTGGTGCTTTCTGCCCTGATGGGTCGGTCTGCTTTTTAGCAACAATGGCAAGAGTTGGCTTTAAATGATTATTTAAAAACAAAGAAAAGGAAATTTTTTTCCTTAGAATTAATATCCTTCGTGTGATTTCCTTCTCGGTACTCACGAGTGACACCTTCAGTCTGAGAAGTGAAGAACTTAACCTAGAACCAGGGTGAGTGCACGGAGCTCATGGCCCTGGCCTTCTTGTGTTGTTGCAGAGCGGCTGCTGGTCGGGCTGAAGGACCAGGACACGATTGTGCGGTGGTCTGCAGCCAAAGGGTAGGTGCCCTCCGTCCCACTGGGGGAGCTGGGCCCGGGGCTGATGGCTTGTCAGTGAAACGCCCCACGGTCTGAACACTTCCCGTCGTTCAGCACTTCACGTGCAGTTGAGAGCTCAGAGGCTCTTAGAAGGCAGGATGGTTTTTCTAATACACGTTTATTGCTTTATGTTCTGATTTCAAAGATCATAACTGGGGAATGAGGCTCCTTCATTTCCTTGCCTTTCTGGCTAGAGTGGGCAGAATTTGAGCAAGTCCAATTTGCCCCTTTTTTTTACCTTCCAAATGTTCCTTTTCTTGCTCTTCCATGTCCTCATCAGTGCAGCCCCTACCCCCTGCCCTGCACAGGTAGGCAAAGCTCCCACGTAGTGAGCAGGTGCTAACACAGCCATATCCAATCCCACAGCCCCTGAGGGGGAAGTGGTGTTCGTCCTCTGTTATGCCTCAGGGAACGGCCTGCAGAGAGGTGCCCTCATGGAGAAGGTGTTTAGCAGCAGGCAACCTCTGAACCAGAGTCACGTGTGGTTGGAGTGGGATGTGCCAGGAGGGATGCTGATCCAGTCAGGAGGTGTCTAGTGTGGATGTGGGGCAGCCCGCCAGGTGGGGGGTGGTCCCGAGGGGTCAGGTCAAGGGTGGTGGCCTGGTGCTGGGTGCCATTGACCATCAGTGGCAGGCTGCTGCCCTGTGGGCACCGCCCCCCCGCCCCCCCGGGTCTCCCTCCCCTGAGGAGATGCCTGTGTCAGTCTGTGTATGTCGCTAGGATGAGGCTCCCTAACAGGCGTTGTGTAGAGCAGAGTGTGTGTGAGGCTCACTCTGGGTCTGCCTCTCTTTCCCATTCTCTGGAGGGAGGGAAATGGCTGGGGACGGTTCCTCATTGATTGCGCCCCTCACAGTGGGCTGGTGATGCTGACGGAGTGCCGCCTCTCTTTTTCAGAATTGGTAGGATCGCTGCAAGGCTTCCCAAAGAGCTGGCGGATGACGTGGTTGGGTCTGTGTTGGATTGTTTCAGGTATGTGAGAAGATCAAAAGGAGACATGTTTCTGGTTAAAAGAAGTGGCTGTTCTTTTCCTCTATCCTTTTACATTTTCTTTCAGCTGAGCTATTTGTCAGAGCCCCCAAAGCCTTTTTGTTTTCCTTTTGAAGTTAAGTTTGAGAACTCTAGTTATTTGTTATATTTCTTTTATCAGCTTAAATCCCATTACATTTAAAAATCTCTTTGAGAAGAAAAAAGTGGTTTTGAACAGGGACATACATCGATTTCGAAGAAACCTGGGGTCACTGGGGTGACATCTAAGAGAACGTCTGTGGTGAGGCATGTTCTGGATCTGCCTCGTGGTAGCCGCTAGCCACGTGTGGCTGTTGACCTTATAAAGAGGCTGAATTCTACTTTTTTTCTTTTTTAATTCTACATTTTATTTAATTTTATCAGATTTAAATTCAAACCGCTGTGTGTGGTGGGGCGCCTGGGTGGCTCAGTTGGTTAAGTATCTGGCTCTTGGTTTTGGCTCAGGTCATGATCTTGGTTGGGGTTGTGAGGTTGAGCCCTGAGTCAAGCTCTGTGCTGGGCTTGAGCCTGCTCGGGACTCTCTCTCTTCACCTGCTCCTCCCCCCACTCCCCCCCTTAAAAAAACAAAGACAAGAGTCACATGGTAATGGTTGTGTTGCATCTGGCTTAGCCTTTCAGAGATGTCTGGGTGGCACTTGGCTGGCCCATGGTGCGGGCGTGGGCAGGGATGTGCAAGCCATGGGTCCTTGGGGTCGGAGCCTGGGTCCTGCAGGCCAGGGGGCAGGGCAGAGACCCGGGCAGCATAGGTGTGCTCTCTCAGGTGCACTCTCGGGTGCAAAGCATGTTTGGTATGGTTAGTCCCAGAGGCCTCTTAACTTTGCCTGTGGAAAGTTCTCTCTGGGTTTTGGAAGCAGGTGTTTCTAAGAAGGGGTGTTATTGGTTGGCCCCCAGTTGCTCTTCTTCCTGGGCTGCCAGTGCGTGCATGTAGGGCGAGGAGCTGCCTGCACTTCTGGGTGCTCAGTCATGTACGTCAGTTGCCGAGGTTTCTCTGGGAGTACCCACAGCACGTGTGCTTCCTTTGGAGCAGGCTTTCTCTGGCACTTTGTCTCCAGCCTGCTCAGCGACAGTTGGAGGAGTTCAGCGAGCGGGATGTCAGAGTGATGCTGCTTGTGTGGCCAGTGTTTCTTCAGTGGAAACTTTTCACGGTTATCTGCCAGGCTCCTGCTGTGACTCTGGAACGCCGATGTTGGGGAAAGAAAGTGCTCCCTGTCCACGTGGCGATTCTGTTGGCTTGTTTTAGGGTATCCTCTTGGACTTCTTCTCTGGCGCCATGGTGATGGGTGTGCTGATGATGCTGGATCCTGCTGGTCCTGAGCACAGAGGTGTGAGTCCCTGGGCGGCGACCAGTGGCAGCTCTTGTGTGGCTGTGGTGGAGCATCCTGCTCTTGGGAGAGGGCAGCACTTTGGGCCAGGTCTTGGGAGGGTGGAAAGGGCCAATGTCCTGCAGCCCCAGCCTTTCCTCCCTGGTCCCTTTGCCCATGGCACGGCAGGTCAGCCTCAAGTCTTTTTTTTTATTTCCTTCCTGAGAACATTTCTGCATGGGCCCTCGGGATTTAACATTGTCTCTTTACCCAGCCCGCCCTCGCGCTCTTCCTTGCCCAGGCTCCTTCCTTCCCTTCACACCTGCCTCCCCAGCCCCTTGTTGGCGGCATCCCTAGTACCAGCTTTCCTGGTGGTGGCCGTTCCGGTGCTCCTGCGCCTCCCTCACTCCTCTGGCCACTGCACCTCTGCCTGGCGGCCTAGGGTTCTTGACCTTGTGCATCTCCATCAAACTCCTAGAACATGTTTTCTACTGGCCAGACATATGGCCCTTTGTCCTGGCCTGCACCTGTGGTCTACTTCACTCATCCTTGTTAGTTTAATCTGCAGACACTTCTCTGCGTTTGTCTTGTCATTTTAATGAACTCCTCCAATTTTTGTATTTAGGTTGTGGAGGGTGGAAACTGTTTTACTGCTCTTGCTTCCCTGGGGCTGACAGCCCAAAGTGACAAGCAGGACGTTGAGGGAAAGGACCTGAGTGCAGAGGCAGCCTCTTCCTGGATGGGTATGAAGTACCTGATTGCAGAACCTGGCACAGAAAGGAGTCACCCCCAGACCAGAATGTTTGAAGACCCTGAGAAGCAGGAGCCTGCTGGGTGGAGGGCATGTGCAGTGGGGTGGGGGCGGCAGGACTGGCTGGTGACCTGGTACAGCTGCTGCTGTGATCTTGTCCCTTCTTTTGTGTTCTTCTGGGACAGGCTTTGCTGAAAGGGTTAGTAAGAACATTACTTCTATTACCCTACTCCCAGGACTTCCCCTTCACTCCCTGCTCTGTTTCCAGGCCAGGTTATGTGGAATGAAGCCACACATGGTCCCCAGGGGGTTTTACAGTGAGCCCCATAGGACCAGTGTGAGCAGCATGGGCATCATCCCTCAGCTGCTGCTCCTTTCCCTATGTCCCACCCCCTGGATGTGCAGCTGTCCGTCAGTACCTGTGCCCACCCTCCCCCGCCCTTTAGAAAATAGTGCTGTAGCCTCTTGCTGGCCCCGGCAGCATTACCTCAGGGCAGGACCCCAGAGATAGTGTATGCTAGACCCAGCAGTCTGGTCCATGGCAGAAGCAGAGGGCCTGTGGGGGGAGGAGAGCAACGCCCCGTTGGCCTGGCCAGGGTCCTTGTGTTTGCCATCTGAGCTCAGCTGCACAGGGGGTCTCCAGTTAGCAGATGGACTGCAGCCCCGGGTCCCAGTTCCTGGGTGTGCTGTGGGTGCTGCAACTTCTCAGAGTCTCTGTGACGTTGAGAGATCCTTGGGGGTACCCCCTTGGCCCCAGGGAGCAGCCCCCTGTCCCCGTCTGCTTGTGCATGTTGGGCCTTGGAGAGAGTGAGTAGGGCAGAAGTCTGGCCGCAAGCCAGGCACTGTGTGAGGGAGGCACTGTTCCTGAGTACCCCCCTGGAGTGGGCGGAGTAGGGCCAGCAGGGTGATGGTCTTCCTTGTTCCCCCTCAGGCCACAGGCCTGACAGAAGGTCATGCCACCTTTCCATAGCTGTTGACAAGCAGCAGTGCACACATTTAGTTTGGGAAATGGACATTGGTGTAACTGGTGATTGTTTTATTGATAGAGTCATCATAATGCTGATCTCTTATAAGTTTTTTTAAAACATTATCAAGTCTTATGAAAAGCATAAAGCATCTCTTTCCAGTTAAAGTCCTAAAGTACACCAAGTGCAATATTAAATTTTGATGTGGTCAAATAGCCTTTGGGACAGACATTTAAAAAAATACCTGGAACTTAAGAATTTATAATTAGAAGTAGAAATTGGCACTGGTTGATGGTGAGGTCCATGGGGCAGCACCTGTGTCTGTCTCAGAGTCCGTGTTGGTCTCAGGGAGACCTGTGTCTGCAGGCCCTGGCACACGGGTGGGACTTGCTGAGTATCTGTCGAGTGAACAGACAAGCCTACACTCTCTCCTTTCTGAATGTTCTTGTGCTTTTTGCTAGCGAGGAATGCAATTCAGTTGGTTTTCTTAAACATTTCTTTGCTATCAGATTGAAAAATTTAGGATAGGAAAGAGCCCTATAACGTCTCTTGCTTTTTGGTGAAATGCATTTCCATGTTTATATTGGCAGCCAAATGTAGAAACTCTGAAGACAGCCTTTATCAATCTAAGAAACACTTCTCACTAATCATGATGCCAGGGGTGCACTTGTAAACAAGAGAGCTTCCAAACCACTTCAGGAAAAATTTTATTAGATATAAAATTTTACTATGACTTGATTAATTGGCATAATTGTTTATTAAAAGCCAGTGTTTCAAATAGTGCAAAACAGTTCTCTAAATGGTCTTTCATTCTAACTTTTTAATCTCTAAGCCAGGAAAGGAGGAAAGGAGGTCTCCCTGCCCCTTTCTGCTAATACAGTCTAGCCTTAATTTGATAGATTCACTGTGCTATGAGCCCCCAGGTTTTAGTGCCTTGAACGGGGTGAGTCGCTGGGTGTGTAGTCAGCTGGCACAGGCTGCTGTGGCAGGAAGCCTGTGTAGAGCCTGGGTGTCTTGCTGACACACATCTGCGGGCCGCTTTCTCTGTTGGCAGCATGTGGAGCCACCTAGGACCTGTGCTTGTCTTTGGAGATCTGAAGAGAAATACTGAGCACAGTGCTTACCTTCAGTTAAATTGCAGTATTTTATTTATTTAGCCAGCTGACAGTTGGAAAACTCACGAGTGGGTTTTAGGGAGGCTCCCAGGCACAGGATGTGGACCTGCGGTCTGTGTACACGGCGGGAGAAGCTGGAATGAGCACTGCAGTCTCAGGCTTTCTGTGTGTCTCAGTTTTCAGGAGACGGACAATGCCTGGCATGGTGGCTGTCTGGCCTTGGCGGAACTGGGCAGAAGAGGCCTGTTGCTCCCTTCCCGACTTGAGGATGGTAAGTACTGCGCGTTTGCTCTGCATCGTCAGGACTGTTTGTAGCGTGTTGGGTGCTTCATTTCACCCTGTGTCTCCCCCGTGTCCTGCCGTGAGCGTGCATCAGGCCTCTGCCCTCACTGCTAGCGCATTTGTGTGCAGGAGAGAGCAAACTAGACCTGTGTCTTTCAGCCTTCCTTCTTGTATTGATGTTTCTGATTTTCTGACTGCCTCTTCTCCCTGCTGTGAAATTTTAATACCACAGGTATAGTTTGTGTTTGGATTTGGAGAGCCACGAACCATTGCAATGTCTGAGATTTTCTTGTCCCTCAGGACTGGTTTTCACCCCTGTGGGGGTGCTGTTGCCTGTTAAGAAGTTGTGCACTGCTGCTGTATTTATCATGTGGAGTGACATCACGGTCCCCTGGGAACAAGGCTCACACCAGCAAGGGGAGGGGGCGGAGGGCTGGAGGAGGCTTGGTAGTGGCCTGAGCAGGGGGACAGGGGCACAGTGCAGCAGATGTAGAGGGACCACTGGGCTCCAAGCCTGCATGTCCCAGCTGTTGGACCTAGACACGTGAAGGTGGAGCATGGGGCTGTGGCCATGTGAAGCCCTGTCTGACTGGTGGGGATCAGCTCTGGGTGTGGCTGGTGGTGCCTCTGTGGACAGAAGGGAAGGACACCTGTGAAGGATGGAGAAGGCCCCTTCCTGGGCTGTGTCACCACACATGCTCTGCACCGTGGGAGTTGACTTCTATCCAGAATAAAGACATCTGTGCAGAGATAGGTAGGGCCCCTCATCTTCCTCTGTAGCACCTGAGCTGTGGGGTGTCAGAAGTAATGGCTTTGTACTTGGCATTGTGAAGCGTGAGGAGGGCTCCTAGACCTTCCAGATTCTATTTAATCTTTCTTTTTATTTTTGTGGCAGCTTTACTGAGATAAAATTTATATACCATGAAGTTCACCCATTTAGAGTGTACAGTTCAGTGGTTTATGGTATGTTTACAGAGCTGTGCAACCATTATCATAATCTAATTTCAGAACATTTTTATTGTCCCACAAGGAAACCCTGTGCTCAGGGACAGTGACTCCCCATTTCTCCTGAACACACCCAGCCCCAGACAACTACTAATCAGCTTTCTGTCTCTCTAAATTTGCCTTTGCTGGTCATTTCTTATAAATGGAATCTATGATAGTGGTCTTGGGCCTGACTTCTTTCACTTAGCGTGATGTTTTCAAGGTTCATCTGTATTATAGCATGCAACAGTAGTACTTTGTTCCTTTTTATGGCTGAATAATATTCCATTGTATGGATACACCACACCATTTATCTGTTCATCGTTGATGGACATTTGGATTTTTAACCTTTTGGTTATTATGAATAAATACAAACTTTTTTTTTAATGTTTATTTTTATTTATTTTTTTAAAGATTTTATTTATTTATTTGACAGAGGGAGACACAGTGAGAGAAGGAACAGAAGCAGGGGGAGCAGGAGAGGGAGAAGCAGGCTTCCATGCAGAGCAGGGAGCCCGATGTGGGGCTCGATCCCAGAACCCTGGGATCATGACCTGAGCTGAAGGCAGATGCCCAATGACTGAGCCACCCAGGTGCACCTGCTACAAACATTTGTGTGCAAGCTTTTGTGTGGACATATGATTCTAGTTCTCTTGGGTCTCTATTGCTGGGTCATGTGGTAACTCTATCTTTAACTTTTTGAGGAGCTGCCAAATTGTTTTCCAAAATGGTAGTAACATTTACATTTCCACCAGCAGCGTGTATGAGGGTTCCAGTCTCTCCACATCCTCCCCAACACTTGTTTTTCTCTTAGTGGGTGTGAAGTGGTATCTCATTGTGTCTCTAATTTGCATTTCCATGACTGACTAATGATGTTGAGCATCTTTTCATGTTCTTGTTGACCATTTGGAGATCTTTGCTGGAGAAACATCTGTTCAGATCCTTTGCTCATTTAAAAAATTGGCCTTTTTGTTGTTGCTGTGAGTTCTTTATGATTCTGGATTTAAGTCTCTCACCAGATATAGGATCTGCAGTATTTTCCCCCATTCCATGGTTGTTGTTTCAGTTTCTGGTTGGTGTCATTTGCACCGAAGTCCTGCATTTTGATTAAACCCAGCTCACCAGTCTTCTTTGTGTGAGTGTGTCACAGACAAGGTGAAATCCCTGCCTGGGTGGTTCCAACTCCAGTTTAACTTGAAGGACAGAGAGCCTTTTCTCTGCTTTTTGTGCCTGAGACTGGCTGGTATGCATGTGCCCGTCATAACTTACAATGTTGAGGTGCCCATCGATCACTAGCTGCTGGAGTGAGAAAATGTGGGGGTTGGTGTCATGAGTGAGAAGTGTCAAGCTGTTGTTTAAAATCTAGAAGATGTAATGTGTGGCCTTGACTGGCTGGCTGCCTCCAGACTGGTGGTATCTTCCATGTGCGCTGAACCCTCTTGCAGGCCCTTGCTGTGCCTGGTGGGGTCTCAGGTTGCTGTGTTGTCTCCTGCCTGGGAAGGATGGTGCCAGGCCTGGGGAACAGTGATTTTGTCTTGGCGCAGGCTCTGGAGGTGACTGGGGCTAATGTTTGTTTCTTTATCTTTTTTTTTTTTTTAAAGATTTTATTTATTCATGAGAGACAGATTGAGAGAGAGAGAGAGAAGCAGAGGGAGAAGCAGGCTCCCAAGGAGCAGGGAGCCCGATGTGGGACTCGATCCCAGGACCCTGGGATCACGACCCGAGCTGAAGGCAGATGCTCAACCATTTGAGCCACCCAGGCGCCCTCTTTATCTTCTTTTCTTGCTCCTCAGACTGGATAATGCCAATTGCCCTATATCTTCAAGTTCACTGATTCTTTCTTCCACTTGCTCAAATTTGCTGTTGTACAGCTCGCTTGAAGTTTTCATGTCTGTTACTGTGTTTCTCAGTTTCAGAAGTTCTATATGGTCTCTTTTTTATAGCTTTTTTGTTGACATTCCGTGTTCGGATATTGTTTTCTTGGTTTCCTTTAGCTCTTTGAGCATATCTGAGAGAGTTGATTTAAAGTCTTTGATTTTAGTACAATGTCTGGGCTTCCTCTGGGACAATTTCTCTGCTTTTCTTTTTTTCCTTTGAAATATGTGTGTACTTTCCTGTTTCTTTGTTTGCTTTGTAGTTTTTTGTTGGAAACTGGACATTTTGAATACTATAATGTGGTAACTCTGGAAATCAGGTTTTCACCCGCCCCCAGGGGTTTGCTCTTGTTGCTTATTGAAGGTGATCGTTGTCCATTAAGTGACTTTTTCCAGTCTGTTTGCAACGACTGTATTCCTTGTTGTGTCTGGTCACTCAAGTCTTGGTTCCATTACATCTGCAGCCAGTGACCTAACAGATTTCCTTAAGTGCTGAAATTTTGTAGGTTCTTTCTTCACTAAGCATTCTCCTGGTTTCTGTAAGTTTTTGATGAGATTTCAGAGTTCTGAACAAGTTGAGTCTGTCAGTTTTGCTGGCTTAATGGTTATTTTGGTGGAGGGACCGATCTGTGGAGTTCCCTACTTTGCCATATTCTGTGACATTATCCAAAAACGAGCATTTGAGTAGTGTTCCAGCATTAGTCTGGGTCCTCTGAGCAGAAACAGATACTGAGACAGGATTAAATGTGCAGAGATTTTATTAGAGAAATGCCCATGAGAGAAAACAGGAAGGCTGGCAGAGCCACTTTCTGGCCCGGGTGCTGTGGAGTGGGGGTGGGGCTGGGGTCCTCGAGCCAAAGTCAGCCACAGAGGTGGTCTTGTGTCCCCCGTGGGGCCTGGAGTCTGCTTGCTTCGGTGGGTGGGGCCTGGCTGTGACTGCAGCTCTGTGGTTGCAGAGGGCCGACCTCTCCTGACCTTGTCACTTCCCACAGGCCTTTGTACCTCAGTTCCTAAGGGAGCAGCTGGGCCCTGGGAGGGGTTGCTTTCTCCAGTGTTCCTGACACAGTCCTGGTGCCTTCCTGTTCTGAGGACCACATGCCTCACCAATTTTTAACCTTTGTGCATTTTCAACTGTTGGACACTCCAGTCTATAAGAAAAGTGAATCAGGGGTGCCCGGATGGCTCAGTCGGGGGAATGTGCAACTCTGGATCTTGGGGCTGTGAGTTTGAGCCTCACATTGGGTATAGGGATTGCTTAAAAATAAATAAAAAATTAAAAAAAAAAAAAGAAAGTGAAGTGAATACCGTGAGACCTCTTTGACTTAGTATGTGAAGTAGTTGTTCTGCCCTTCTGAATTAAAGTGCTTTTCTCCTTGATGAATATGTGTGTGCTTCATTTCACACCCACACATGCCCTCTTTCCCCATGGAGTGTGGCGTTGTGGTGAAGGTTAGAGCTGGTGGTGGGGGCAGACTGCCAGGGGCTGCTGGGAAGGCTCTTCAGAAGGGTTGTTGTCCGCATTTTGTTTTCCTCTTCAGTACGAATTCAAGGACCCCTTTAGCTTTATTGAGATACAGTTCACCTAACATGCAGTTTACCTATATAAGATATGTGATTTAATAGTTTTGGTATATTATTTTTAAAAAACATTATAGAATGTGTGTAACAAACATTTGCCTTGCTGACAATTTTTAAGTGTACAATTCAGTGGTATCAACCACATTTACAGTTTGTACAACCATTATCACTGTTTCTGAAAACTTTTCATCATCCTGAACAGAAATTGTGTCCCCATTAAGCTCCCCTCTCCCCTTCCCTGCTGCACTCTGTTGGCCTCTGTGAATTTGCCTGTTGTAGGTGCCTCACACAGGTGGATCTGTACAAGATTTGTCCTTTTGTATCTGGCTTATTTCACTGAGCAAGAGGTCTTCAAGGTTAATTCATGCTGTAGCACCTGTCAGAACTTTATTCCTCTGTAGAGCTGAGTAATATTCCATTGTATGGATAGTCTGCATTTTATCTGTCTGTCCATCTGTCAGTGGATGCTTGTGTTGCTTTCATCTTTCGACTTGTGAATAATGTTGCTCTGAATATTGGTGTACACATATCTGAGTTTTTGTTTTTACTTCTT